CTGCACAGTTCCCAGCATACGGTCAGTGTCGAAGTTAGACAGTCAACAAAGAATTATTGGAAATTTACTTAAGGGCTTAATATCAAGAGAGAAGAAATTCTTAAAACCAGGGACCATGAGATCACTCCCACAGAACGATCCTGGATGACTGTATAACAGAAAATATTTCAAGCAGTGGTTATTCTCACATCATAATCTCACATGTGTTCAGATTGGTAGGAATAAAGGAACCACATACATGTCTTTCTCCTGTTGCATTTATTTTCATTCAGCAACCATTTATAAATCCCCTGCTATGTGCCAAGAAATTCACATCTTCATTTATGCAGTCAAACCTTCATTTACTATTTACTACATCCTAGGCACTGAGGGAGGCCAAGAATCCATAAGGATGAAGGGAGGAGACCGACAAGCAAATAGAAAAATAAAATGAAATGTGGTGAATGCAAGATTAGAGACCTTTGCAGCAGTGTAGGTGAGCTCCTAACCCAGCCACAAGGACCTGATGACCAGGCAGAGTCATGACCAAAAGCAAGAGCCAGCCAGGAAGAGACCAAGGAGGAAAAACATCCTGGATTGACAGATCGTGCTCCAAGATCAGAGACCCAATTCTGGACCAGGACTGGCTGCTGACCACTATTTTAGTCAGCTTCTTCACTGCTGTGATTAAAGGACTCAACCAGAACAATCGTAGGGGAGGAAGAGGTTTTTTGAGGGCTCACGGTTTCAGAGGGCCAGCTCCATTCCTCAGGGCTCAAGGTGAGGCTGAACATCATGGCCAACAAGTATGGTGGAGAGAAGCCGCTCACAAAGAGAAGCCGCTCAGGAAGCAGAGAGAGAGAGACTCCACACTGGAGATAAAGAATATATATCCCATAGCCATACCCCATTCCCACCTCCTCCAGCCGTACCCTACCACTTCAGTTACCACTCAGTTAATCCCTATCAGGGGATTAACTCACTGTTTAGGTTAAGACTCTTAGAACCCATTCATCTCCTCTGAACCTTCTTGCATTGTCTTGCACATGACCTTTGGGGGGACTCCTCACATCTAAACCAGTAGCCACTGTACTGACTAATATCTACCCAGTGGACTTCAGTCTCAGCATCCTCAGTCTGTCAAAGTGATGAGTGTTTCTGAAGTTTACACTATGTTGTCCCATGGCTCTAATTCCTCCTGTTCCTCATCTCCCATAAACTCTACCAGAAGCCAGCAAACTATGGTCCAGCACTCAAATCCAGCCCACCATCTGCTTTTGCAAATGAAGTTATATTGGCTTATGGTCGTGCCCAACAATTCTTTCCTGTCCATGACTGCTTTTACACTACAAAGGCAGAGTCGAGTAGTTGTGACAGAAAGTACATGTGCCTCAAAGCTTAAAATATCTGCTATCTGTCCTTTACAGAAAAAGTTTGCCAGCCCTTGATCTAGAGCTACACTCTCAGCAGTCCTCACCCTTGGTCATTTGAACTCAGGAAGATGTGGTCCCTTATAGGAACCTCACACCATGTGAGGAAGGAGTTAGTGGAGATCAGGAAAGGAGGGAGCAGAATTAGATGGAAGACTATGGATGAAGAGCCCAGTAAGACAAATCTTCTGAGGGAGAAAAGACATTCTGTCTGCCCAGTGATTTAGGGCTGGGGTAAGAGGAAGTTACAAGGCACTGCTGTTTGTCAGAAAATGAATTCTTATTCACAATAAAATTGTTTCACTCTATTTAAAAAATATGCAACATTCTATTTTGCCAGATTTAAGGAATGCATAATGAGAGATCTTTTTATAATGCACAGTCACACAGAAGGAAGACTATACCTTTGGTTTTTCAGGCCATATACATTTCAAATCAGGTCTGATGGCCCTCCAAGGGAATGAAACAACCTGAAGAGGAGAACACAATCCACATCCCACACTGCTTCCGGACCCCTGTCTCTGGCAGCCTGATGATTAATGCATAAACCAGAAAGATGTTTCATTGACTGCCTTGCAGTCTCATGAGCTCAGTGCAGTCAATAAATACTTATTGAATGTATTTTCCTACGGCTTGCAGCAATTTCTCAGTGATCTCCTATAATCAAATAAGAAAGAATTGTTCAGGGTGGTTCCAAATAAATATATAAATGTATATTCATGAAATCCAAACTAGGAATGGGGAGTAAGAAAGAAAATATTCATCCATGTACAAGTTATCCGAATGGCAAAAGTATTTGAATAAATAAGAAATAAGCAAATTATACAAGCCTCAGAAGTAAAGATAGCAATAGAGAGAAAGAAAGAAGAAAGGGAAGGAGGGAGGAAGATTTATAAATGGCTCTATTTTGAACAAATGAAAATATATACATTTTTTAAAGCCAATCTTTTTTATTCTCTCTGGCTTTGTATGGGGAATATTTTCATCTGTCATTGAAATGGCTCCTACACTCAAAGAAAGGCAGAGAGTTAACTGAAATGGGCTCCCAAATTGCAATCTTTGCAGTAAAGATAAAATATGGCTTTCTGCCACCCATTTGAAGCTGTAGTGCTAATATTCTGATGCAATTCCCCTTAAGCACAGTCACATTAGATTCTAAATGGTATATCACCAATTTGGGCACGGGGATGGGTATTAGGATTCATTTATTTAAGACTGAGCATTTATCCTGAGTTAGAAACAAATTAAAATCTTACATTTGAGATAATATTAAAAGAGGGCAATGTAATTACCACACTCTCCCCTGTGCATCTTCCTGGATCTGGTTTGAAGCCTAAGAATGCACAGCTGCCGGTGCGGGTAGAAGCAGCCTGCATTGGGCTGGAGATAAAATAAGGCATCTTCATGCTCCCTGTCCAGGTTTGTGGAAATCTTGCTTTTGGGAAATGATCCAGTAAGTGCTCCTACAATTATAATGCAAACACACAAAGAGATTCTGGTCATGATTCTGGTCCTGACAATCCAGGTCCATCCTTGACCAAACTGGAAAGAAGGTAAACATGATTGATGGTTGAACAGGCCCACCTCCACTGGCTCTGACTCAGGGGTTCCTCCCATCCACTATTATCCCATGTCTATACAGGAAACCCAGGTTCCATCCTGTCAGGCAACAAGGATGTCACAGGTCTGGGGTTGGGGACAGGAATCAAGACTTCTCAGGGTACTTTTTAGGAGATTAATCCAGAGGGGAAGATTATTTAAGTCTATGGTTTGAGAGACTCCCTTAATGGTAACTGTGGCCCTCTGGGATAATCTAAAGAACACAGGTGATGCTTGATTCACAGCGTCTTGAGAACTCTCTTTGCCCTTTCAGACAGTATTTGAGTAAAATATTTCATTGCCACCAACTAGCCAGGGAAGCATCCCCAAAGATTTTTATTTTGCTACTCACCCCCACCATAACATCTACTCCAAGTCTTTTCTATCTCCACTCTCTCCTGACTTCAAGACCACCTACTTACTTTTCGAAAAGGGCAGAAGGAAGTTTCTGGGGATTCCTTCCCAGAAGTTATCATGACTTCTGACTGTGTATACGAAGGCTGACCCGAAGCATTCCTCAAATGCAGCCTCCCTACACTGAACACCTTCAGTGTAGCTGTTCTTGCCAACCAGAAAAGGGAAGATCAGGTCCCTAGCATACACACACAAAAAAAAAAAAAAAAAAAAAAAAAGCAGAGAAATGATAAAAAGATGCTCAGGGAAGAAATCTACAAAACAAAGCTATCAACCCTTTTCAGAAAGTCAGATCCAATCCTATCCCAGAGGAGGGAGGGCTCCAAACATTTCCTGCCCTTGGAACAGGATACTCAACAGGTTCACCCCCAACCCAGCTGAGCATACCTCTTGAAGCCCCTCCAAGAAATCACCCACTATTCCAAAACTTGATTACTTCTGCAGACTCCCTAAGGCTCTAAGGTACTGATCAGATTACCGCTTGAGGTCATTTTTCCTACCGTTGGGTTTTGTGGTTGCTTATTGATGCTCCTTGTTTCCCTGGAGAAATTAGATCCTCAATGCCCAGAAGGAAAGGGTGTGTTCTGCAGGCAGCAGGTGCCCAGTGAAAATTGTAAAATGCATGCTGAATGAAATTGCTTTCCTTATTACCCTGTCCCACTTCTTGCCCAAAGGTTGTAGGAGTTCAGAAAACACAATGAAAGGATTATGTGGAATTACACGAAGCCAGCTGACAGATGTGCTGCTATTTGTCTGTGCGTTTCTGAAGTCTTCATGGACCATTCTGTCCCACGGAGACCAGAAATACCTGCATGCCAGAGAATCAAATGTGTGATTTTGAGGTTTTGGTCAAATAATATTTAAACCTCAAATGATGTATAAAAAACATAGCTGCAACTTTTTTAAACAGATGAATATTTTAAGAGATAAATCCATAAACATTGTAAGAAAAATACACATAGGGAGATGGCTTTTAAATGAAGGAGGCAGAATTGATGTGTTCATAACTGATATAAAATGCTGATTGTAGTATTTATTTTTTCCTCACATCTCTGCAGCATCTTAGAGGCTGTGCACAAATTCAAACATGTGGATGTATTCATTCAGATGATACCATTTAGTTCACCATTTAGTTTGTTGCCTTCCGGCCCCTGTTTTCTGATGCAGGATTGATAACCTTTATCATGCCCCACTAGGGCTTTAAAAACTACCACAGTCATATGCAGCTTAATGAAAGGAGACACATTCTGCTAAATTCATCAACCAATGTCATTGTTGTGCGAACACCATGCAGTGTACTCACACAAACTAGGACAACTACTATGTTGTCAGTCAATCTTATGGCACCACCTCGATGTATGTGGTCTGTCTTTGGCCAAAGTGTTGTTATGTAGCACATGACTGTTGGTGATTTTTCGTATGGATTTTAGCATTGTGAGTCAGAAGCCATAAAACTTAAGGATAAAATATGGAAACAGGTTGGGAAAACGTCATCAGGAATCAAAGTGTTTCTGGAACATTTTTGTTGGCAGATTTTGATGACCAAATCAGAACGTTGTCCATTCTTCTCTGTTCCAGATACATGGCCATCATCCATCCCCTCCAGCCCCGGCTCTCAGCCACAGCCACCAAAGTGGTCATCTGCGTCATCTGGGTCCTGGCTCTCCTGCTGGCCTTCCCCCAGGGCTACTACTCAACCACGGAGACCATGCCCAGCAGAGTTGTGTGCATGATCGAGTGGCCAGAGCACCCTGACAAGATTTATGAGAAAGTGTGAGTAGAGACTTGTCCCTCTCGGAAGCTGCTGTGATTCAGGGCTCTATTGTTCCTGCTTTCTTTCCATATTCCTCATCAGTTAAAATTTAATGTGTATCTATAAACATTTCTCAAATCCACCCTGACATCACAATTATGAGCAAATTAAAATACCCCCAAATACTATTCTGGATTTTGAAAAACCATTAAAAAAAAAAAAAAGTGAGACCTTGATCCTGTTATGTCAGACTCATGGGTGTCCCACCATGTCCCTCAGGCATTTTATGAGAGCTAGTGTCCTCCCAAAATCCCCATTTCTTTGCCACTGAACTTTTTCCTAAGCATTAATGCTGCCCCTCTGCCCTCCTACAACACACATTGGAGGGTGGGGAAGTTCCTACTCCTCCTGGCAGCTCTCAACAATGACTGACAGGGGAGTTGGCCTATACACACTCTGCTCCCTCCCCCTGGGAGGGATGTCTCTGGGTTTGAATCATGAGAAGAATCTCCAATTGCCCAGAAGGTACCTAGTTCTACAATATGCATTTCATGACCCACCATTCTTTTCCTGAACCTGGGCCAGAGGGTGTTTATTTTTTTTTTTTTTTCCTTCTCCTAAATAAGATGCTTGCTCTTGAATCATTTATCTCAGATTCTACCTTCCTGGGTTTTGCCCTGTGAGAAGAGAGCACATATGAAATGCTGAGAATGTAGACCAGGGCATTGAGAACTGAGGAGTTAACAGAGCCCTAACAGGGAAGGCCTGCTTATCTTCCAGGAGGAGGGCTGGTCACAGAGTTTTTCCAAGTATCTTGGCAATTTTCTCTAATACTTCTTATCCTGGAGGCAACACTGAAATGGTTTATTTCTTTGTTTTGTTCTGCTCAAGCTAGCAACGATGTGACATTTATGTTGTCATTTTGTTTTCTGTACTCACAGCACATGGGTAAAGTAGGTCCTTTGGAAAGTCCTCTATAATTCTCCCATCGTGTTTTTATTATGCGAATCACAGAACAACCTTGGTGTTAAAATCCAGAAGTTCTGGGTTTTAATTGTAAGATGGCCCCTAGCCTTGCGAACCCAGGCAAGGTGCATAGCCTCTCCTTCCAAAAATGGAAGATAATAAAGCTCTGTTTCCCATAAACAACTGTTGTAAAGATCAAATGAAATAATGTATTCTCACCTTGTCAGCTATTAAACGCCATACAAAAGTTATGAACCAAATTCATGAACCATTTATTCACGAGGCCTGTAAATTTATTAAATGTTAAAAATGAGACACTATACCTGTCATGCCCCCAAGATTTGAAGGCTGGAGAGCCTGTTGCACATGGTTACACTGCCACATCTGTTCCACAGAGCATGGCAATGGGACTTGCCAGGAAACAATACATAAAGCTCAGACATCACCTTCCAGGCACAGACAGTGGGATTTAATCGATCAAGCAGTGGGGGGATTAATGCTCAGCCTAGAAGGAGACATTGAAAATTATTCTTTCAAATGGAACTACAAGCCTGAGCAAGGTCTCACCGGGAGAAAGAACATAGCTTTACAAGCTGTGCATCATCCGTTAATGTGATCAAGCCAAAAGATTTATTCAAAAGTGTGTGGGGGTGGGGGGACCTCCTTAAACTGCTCCAGAAACTTCCACCCCAGACCGTGGCTTTCTTTTTAGTTCTCATCATTTTTTTTTCAAAGCCTGATCAGCTTTCTACGATTTTTGTTTCAAAATACTGACGGTTCTTTTATCTTACAACAAATTTGAAGTTTAACTTGGAAGTAGATTTATGTTCCCACAGACCCCTGAGGAAGCCAAGAAACGTTAATGTTCAGAGCCTTAGTTTTGAATATTTGGGTGTGTTGTGCTTATTAATGATGAGAAAAATCCCTTTGAGACCAAACTCAATGCATTGGATTGTCTTATTTCCTTGATTTGAAAATTTAGAGTAGCTTGCTCCTGGATGCATGCTGAGGTTTGCTATTGTTGTCTATTTAATCATCTTAACTTTAAAAAAAAAAATGAATCTAACTTACAATCATTCAATGTATTGAACACATTGAATGATACAATAGCAAGCCTTAAGTGTCTATACTCCCCATTTATATATTCATTGTGGTACAAACATTAAGTCAAGTTCATAGCAAAGCTTTATGCAAGCTTATTTTCTTTTTTGTCAGTGTCTCTATGTATATCGTGCTATATTTTTAGGGAATTTATATTTTACCATGTCTAAACTAAGTATTTAATTATATTCTCTTCTTTTAGAACTAACGATGATCATTTCCCCCAGAATAATCCCAAATTTGAAACCAGATGGAAACTTTATTTTGAGGCAGTAAAGTAACTAGAAATTATTATTATTAGAGTAAGGGTGTAGGCTCTGGAGTTAGGTGAGGGGTCATCTCCTAGGCCCATAACTCTCTTATTGACACATAAACAGTCCACTCATTTAAGCCCCTAAGCCTAACAGCACATTCCACATAGAGGTTTTCAGAGAAGCAAATTAAAGAACCCACACGAAGTGCTCAGCTCAGAGCCCTGTGTGAGGTTAAGGGCTGCTGAATGTTAACTACCGACATTTGTATCATTCACTGATCAGGGTCCACTGGCAGATGACCAGCAGTGGGTAGCATGCTGAGCAGATGCTTAAGCCCAATTTGTCTCTCAGATAATTTGTGCCAATAATTACATAAAAGCATTTTACGAAAAAAAGTTATAGATGGCCACAAATGCATTCTGGCTACATGATATACCTTCAAGCCTAATCATTCATCATTTGGACTCTTTATTAATATATTGATTAAATGAAGCATTGTGAAAGCAGGTAATCTAATTTTAAAAATGGACAAAAGTATTGAAACATAACACTTCACACACAAAAATAATCCAAATATCTGTTAAATATGTGAAGAGACACATGACTTCATTCCTCACCAGCAAAATGCAAATTAAAACTATAATGAGATATTATTACACATTATCAAACTAGCAAACGTTAATAAGTATGAAAAAACTATTTCAAACTTTCAAAGGATGTGAGGCAATGAGCATTTTGGTGATTGCTAGAAGTATAACTTGATAAAATTATGCTGGAAGATATTTTCATGTATCTAAGAAAAGAAGGTGTACATATCCCAAATCTTCAAAACTTCACTAGGAGGTGCTAGAGAAACTCATGCACATATGTACCCTGGTACACCTAACAGTGTTCATTGGCATCGTTCCTTTTTTGGGAGGGGGCACAGGGGATTGAACCCAGGGGTGCTTAACCACTAAGCAGCATCCCATATCCTCACTCTTCTTTATTTTTTAATTTAATACAGGGTCTCACTAAGTTGCTTAAGGCCCTGCTAAGTTGCTTAGGCTGGCCTTGAACTTGTGATCCTGCTGCCTCAGACTCTTGAGTCTCTAGGATTACAGGCATGTGCCACCATGCTGGCTCTCAGTATTAAATGCCTTCCACCGGAGATATTTTAAATGTCTATCATCAGTACAATGGATAAACAATTGTGGTACAAGCATGTAAAGGAATACTATATTGCTAATGAAATGAACAAAATGTAGCTTCACATTACATTGAAAGCTCTTACCAAAAACAGTTCTAGAACAAGCAAAACAAAATGACATTTTTTAAAATATGTAAGTAGCAAAACTACATTTATAGTAAGCAAGGAAGTGGTCACCATGAAAATAAAGACTGTTGTGTGAAAAGTATTTCTGAGGGGATGACATTGTTATATATATTCAGCTCAGGGGCTGCAGCATGAATATTTGCTTTAAAAGTACAAATAATACCAGATAATTTGACATACCCATTTTCTGGAATATATATTTCATTTTTTAACTTAAAACTTTAAAACTCAGCAAAGTTTCCTTTCTTTTCTTTTTTCACAAACCTTAAGAAACTGATTTCATTGAGATAACCCAAAAATTCTCCAGAAGAAATTATTTTCTGAGGTGTGGGGCTTTGTCTAGGATGACATTTTTCCATAGGAACTTACCTCTGAATGCTCAACATGTGTCTAGCCCCACCCATCCTGATGTTTGCTTGAACTGCATTTTATCTTGCTCACTCCTATGTGCCAGCTCCCCTGAATTTTCCCAACTTAAGGGAAGATAAACCAAACGTTTGTCCCCAGAGAGAAGTGGCAAATGTAAAATCTGAGAACAAGGCTCATCTAGTCAGGGCTTGCATCCCTTGCTGCTGCTATGTTCAAGGGCAGGGGCTTCTGGACCACAAAATTCTGCAGATGCAGTTGGCCATTTTTCCTAGGAAGTAATTTACACTTTATTTACACTCTATTTTACATTTAAAAATATGATATGTTATGGTGAATAATAAAATTCCCATGACTTCTTTAATCAATCATATTTCCATTATTTACTAACATTTTGATGACTATTTGTTCAGGTAAATACCGTTCTTAGTTTCTTTTGAAGCAAAATAGACATCCCAGTCAACACAAATGTGGATCGTCTCCCTCTTTGAAATACAAAACAGCTTATTATGCAAACTATTCTATACCCCCTTTATTAACTTAGCAATATGTCTTGGAGATCTTTCTGCATGAGTTCATAAAGATCTTCTCTTTTTTCAGCTACACAGTATTCTACTTTTTGAATGTATAATACTATTCAAGCAGTCATTTATTGGTGGACTTTGGATTGTTTCCAACCTTTTGCTATTACAGAGTGTTGTCATGAATAACTTACATCTATCACTCAAGGATATCTATAGCCTAAAATCTCAACAGGGAAATATGTCATTTTAATTTTGACATTTTTTTCTCTAGGTAAGATTGTACAAATTTGCATTTCCACCAACAATGTGTGAAAGGGCCTGCTTTTCCATGGCCTTGCCAACAAAATGTATTGTCAAACCTTTAGATTTTAGCCTATCTGATGGGGGGAAAATGATATCTCACTACAGCTAATATTTATTTACATGTCCCTTATTTCAGTTGGGTTGAACATCTTTTCATAATTCATGAGCCATTTCACATACATTTTATAATC